TCTGCAAGGTTCATTTTTCCAAGTTGATGTCCAGTCGGGTTGGTAGCTTACATTGTAGAGCATGGCTTCAAACTTGACTGTCATATCTAGAATTTTAATAAGATTGTTTGAACATCTTATGTTTAATCGTATATTTATTATCAATTTTTCTCCTATATTTATAGCAATACTGAATATACAGCATAAACTTATTCTTTTAGCCTCACAGCTCAAAAATTTTTTGATTCGGTGCCATGGTAGGAATTGCAAATATCTTGTTGCGAGCTCAATGACAGTGTATTTTGATAATCTCTTGACGTTTATCGGAGAGAGTAGTACTATAAACTCTCCACAAAGCTTTCATAGAGGCATCCACTTGCCAGATCGGTTAAGGGGAAAAGTAAACGTTATTGGGTCACAATATTGATATTCTTTCAGTAAATGAATGCGGCTGCAGGCATATCGCAGTAGCAGAAGGTGTTTGGATTGGAGACAATAGCTTCTCCTCAACTGAAGTGACAAGGCCAAGACAAAAATAAATGACCGAAGAATTTGTATGCCATAGTACTGGGAATTGGTGTTAGTAATCCTGCCATACTTTTATCGAGATGTAATCAGAAGAGGCTGTAAAGTGATGATCTGAAGCATTGTCTAACTTTTGAACTGAAAACTCGACTTCAACTTGCATTATTCTTTCACTTCAAATTTTAGCATTTCTTAAATTTCAATGATTGGTTTCTGCTCTGACTTCCAAGAACTGAGCTAGGAGCTTTGAGAGATGAACCTCCCAGTATTTGAGGGTTGTTAGAGCCCAGAAACTTACCAGGTTTTTTCTTGCAACTGCTGGTTCTGACTGTGGCGAAGCGTCATTATACGGAGTTGTAAACAGTCGCTGTTATTTTATTATCGTCAGCTCGCAACTTGTTCCGATCAATTAAAAGGATCAAATACGCGCATTAAAATAAAGAAACAGCAATGAGGTTTGGTGTGGCTCAAAGTTTGGAAAACAATGGCTTTGCAGGATGGATGTTAAGAGACGGGACGTTTTATTTTGATCTTTGAGAAGTCGGGAAAGAAAAAAAATACTAGGCATTCAGAAGCATGCTCGTAATCCACTTCGCCGATGTTCCATTTATACGGGGAAAAATGAGCTCAACCTTTACTATTCTAGTAAGTGCCCGTGGTCAGATTATACTTCTTTTGTGCGTTAGTTGCTATTAATAATAGATAATTGGTTTTATATTATTTCGTATTGGTTGATTATTTGCACTACGTGGCTACACTAGTTATTGAGGGTGCTCTTCTCAAGTGCATATTTGTTGTAAGATTTTGAAGTGTTGCAGATAAATTGGTTGATGAGAGTATCCATTACACTCACAAGGCGCTTGGATGCGGGTCCAAAGAGCTTGGAAAAGAAGACAGGAGCTCAAGTCAGTTCCTCCTAGGGAGGCAGATTGGTGGTTTAATACAGAAAAAAACCGGAGTTGTAGACGTCGAAGGTCTAAGGCTAGGTAACGTCCTGGACTCGTATCAGAAACTTAACTAGCTGGTGGTTAGTGCTTTAAGTAGCAGGCGCGCTAAGCTCAATAGCTTGTAGAGGTTACGCCTTACAGAACATGGAGAAGCGAAGACAAGGAAGCCTGATCTTCAATTTTAGGAAAGTGTTTGTTAGTCACGACGCTCGCAAGACTGCAAATTCTAAATTTTGCAATTTGCAAGCTACCGGACAAAAAGGGTCACCTTAATCTCTGTTGTCTCTCTCTCCTCAAACAGTAAAGATAATTGGACTGGCGAAAATACTTTTGAAGGAAACATTACTGATGTTGTTGAATACAGACGGTAGATAATAACTAGTCGATGGGGCCTAAAAACTATTACCGCCTCAACACAAGATTTTGTTAACGAATTTGTTGGACGATTCCAAATCTTCTACAAAACTCACTCGTAGTTTTCAGCGATCTAGTTTTTACACAATAAGAAATGTCAACCGCAAACTGGCAAAAATGTAGTAATTTGCAGTTCTGCAGAAATGGTTCGATGGTTTTTTAAACTGCAGTTTAGATATTTCACTGGACAAATACACAAGCAACCATTCATCCGTTTGCGATTTACTTTAAGGTTGCTTTGTCAAAATCCACTCAGTTTTGCAGTTTAGAGGCCGTCTCTGACTGTCTCAAGCACGGCAACATTGCAGTTCATGTATTTTTTATCTATTTTTACGCAATTTACTAGTTTTTATGGACGAAGTGTGACGTAAAGAAAAATTTCTGATGGAACTGCCTCCCAGCACGAGAATGGAAAAAAAATTTTTGCAACTTTAAATTTCACGAAGCTGAATTTGGTATCACTGCAGAATGACATTTTTTTTGCTACTGCGCAGGGATGGAGCTTACGCGATGGTATTGATAGCACTGTGATCAAAGAATAACGCCTTTGCAATTGCAAAGGTGCGCTCAGCAAACTTCAGGCATATCAAAGTGGCTTTTTTTTTCGCGGACGGACTACAAAAAGTAGCGAAATACTCTTTGGACTAGTGGCACCTAACAGTTACATGGTGTTTGTTATTCTAACAACAGCAGAAAAGGTTTTTTCTGAACTCTACTCCTACTCGGGTACTGCACTTGAGCACAATATTTATAAACCAGAGGATATTTAAACAGAATCAGTGCGTTGCAGATATGCATAATAATAATTTTCAAATATTTCTGTGTGACAGATAAGCTCCTAAAGCAAATTTTGAACGGTTATAAGATACCATATCTTATTTTCACTTTTTCCTGGCTTTTGGAAGCAGATACGAACTGTTCCGCCATTGTGAAGTTTGTAGGATTACTGTAATGACAGTGTTTTGTTTTTTGCTGCACTTCCTCTTCCGATCCGTAATTCTTAATTCCAATTAACAAATTTACCTTTTTTTTTAGAGAATTTTTGTATAATCGGCCAACAAAGCAGGAGAAGTGAGGAGGAGGGTAAGGAAAGTGAGCGAAACTTAAGAAGCTTGCTCTCCTTTCACCTTTCGCTGTCTGCCTTGAAATCTTTTATGTTTAACACAAATCAATGGACCAGTTGAATGTGGGCTACACTGCGTTATCACTTATCCTGGTCTGTTTCTCACTCGGTACATCTCTGCTTTCTCCAAGTTCGGAAAAAAATTATTTTGGCCCAGGTACCCAAATTCTGGAAGAGCGGAGCAGAAATGGTTTTTTTTTTTCCGAGATGATCCCTCAGGCAATGGGGAAACTGTCAAGTGCTTTTTGTTAGAGAACTGCAAAGAGCTAAGGCAGACCAGCGATAGCATCCTTCCAAAGCTTTTTTAATGACAGGCTGCGAAAAAATTAAATAACGAGGGGGAGAGTAAATCCTTTTGGTTTATTTTCTCCCATTACAACTCTGCTTTACCAGCTATTAGTTACTTATTCACATACTTCAAAGTAACACGTTATTTTTCTTTTCAACACTTCAACCTCTGTTTTAAAATTCTTTGAAACTTTTTCTAGCCATAACTATATAAAGCCAAAAGAAGAGGCTTCTCGTTCTTTAGTGAGTTCTTAATACTGGTGGCGCTTTTTCTGTTCCATTATGGACTACGTATTTCCTTTTCTGCGTACGAGTCTTCTTCAGAGAACTGCGGTCTCTATTAATAAGTTTGAAAGCTTGCTGCAATTTGCACTTCATGCAGCGCATTTGTCCCTGTGGTAGTAGTGTTGCTTATTGCAGATAGACATAAAGACAGTAACACCTGTAATAGGTAATTCAGGTTTATATAAAGAGCCGATGGGAAAAAGATTGGGTTTCATTTTGGAACGTTTTTTGACAGCGCCTTTTGAGCATCAAAAATGTCTTCTGTTGGGTACAGGCTCGTATGCCACTGTACGATCAGACTGCACTGGGCAAGCGCTCTGAAGGGTGCGAAGTATGTGCCTCCTGTATCAAAGAAACACACACTATTAATTTAGGTGGTCTTAGTATGACCGCTGGAAATAATGAGTCGGCTTTGACTCGGAGAAAAAAGAAGAGAAGTCTGATTTTGAAGCAATAGTGTTTCGGAGGCATTGAGAAGGATGCGAACAATCCTTCTTTGCGACAGTTGAACGTCAAGTCACTGCTGCTCTTAAGCACCTTGCCCGACAATATAATTTTTGAATAATACCCTTATTTCGGACAAGTGGACAGCCCGTAATGGAATTAAAGATTTACTTGAAGAGTATCAGCACATGCCGGTGAACCAGTAAGCTGCACTTTGTCGACTCCGTCACTGATGCTTGCACAGACACGACTAAGCTGCTTTGCCAAAAGTTTGAGAAAGCTCAAAAAAGGCGTTTTGGAATCTGATAACCCGTTTTAGACAGCAGTTTTGCGTAGTTTATGTGGAAGTAGCTGTTCAAACAGGGTCTAACACTTCACTTTTTGTTCCTAATTCCTGGCATGTATCCAGTCGCAGCTTCTAATTAGTCACACTAGGATCTTCAAAATCCTGGACTGCCAATGCACTTTTCAGTGAAGTGTAATCGCGTTCATTTCTAACCAACAATTATCAAATTTCGCGGCAGAACCGGGATTACGGTAAAGCAACGGGCCAGACGACCTATAAAAATGCTGACTTCAGTTCAAATTGAGCGGTGTTTACCTAGCTATATCTTTAGAAAACTGCAGATTTCTTGACATCTTCGATTTCCCAAGAATTATACAAAGGGATTCATTTCCAGTTTGGTGTGAAATGTTTTCGGAGCGATCATCCTTTATTTTGGAGAAATTACAGCGACTTTCGCTCCATGCTGCTGCGTAATGAGGGTAAACTCCGTAAAAGTACGCTAAACTTCTGGGTAAATTGTGTAAATGATGTGGCAGCCACTGTTTATTGTTTGTCAAGGTTTTATCTGTCAGCGTTTACAATTTTATAATTTAATTTCTATTTTCATCCAAGAATTTAGCCAAAATGTGAAAGTAATTTCAATTTTTACATATATTTTTTAACAGTATAATAATAACAACTTTGTTGAGCGCCTGGAGACCTTGATTTTTTTTTGGTTACTGTAATCTACATGCAAAGTACTTTTGAAAAATGTAAAAAAAGGAAAAGCCATGAGGTTAGTGAGTGGGAAGGAATACCTAATAGTGCGGAGAGTAAAAAGGGAACAACGAAAGGAACAGGAGGACGGCGACTGAACCACTGCTACACAGACTTAGGTCACATTCGCAAAAAACTTACTGTAAATAGTCCAGTATTTGAAAAACATTCTACTGTAGTTGTAGGTAATCAAAATTAAAATAAACTTCTTGTTTAAAAAAAATATAGGGAAACATGTACTGCCTTAAAAAGACGAACCTCAATTGCGCATCAGACAGAAAGAATACAATAAACAAACTTAAAATAAACCCATTTCTCTACCTAAGTAGTGCAAAAATAGTAATGCTACCTGGGTTTATAAATAGCAAGTTTGCAAAAAAAAAGGTTGGCAACCCCCCCCCGCCTCCTATAAAAATTCACTTGCTTTAAAAACACACTTCTAGAAATCTATATGCAAAAAACCAAAAAAACCCTGTGTTCTTATCAACCTCAGTTTTGAATACAACGTAATAGAAAAATAGTAATTTAAGCATCAGCTCCAACGTCATATTTTACCAAATATCTCGACAAGGAGGCTACAGATCAACATGGTATAGCAATAAACCGGTAACCAGAGTTCTGAGGAATTGAACGGTGTCAAAAAATCCGCAGAACTCCAAAAATAAACTAGATAAACAATGTCCATTTTGAACGATGGCCACAAGTTTCAATAAATTGCCAGCCAACCGGACTACTGTAGCCTTTGTCCTGTTGCGAAAAAGTTATAACACAAATTGGTAATGACGACGCCTATACATTAGTTGTATCTCTTCAACAGTCGGCCGCAGCAGGTGGTCTTAATTATCTAAGCTGCCTATCCTTACCTCTTAAACCTTGAGCGGTTAATTGAATAGAATATCTGATTTGTAACTATGTTTTTAGACTTGATACTTGCGTGCAAGTCGAGCGGAGAATGTTGCTCGACCCCAGCTCGGGCTCAGTGCGCTTTTTGTGTTTTTAGTCTCAGTAGACGGAGTTCGTCAATTTGGGGTGGAACTACTGGTACCAAAAGTACCAAATTGCAGCCTTTTTCTGAGGCTGAGTGTGATTTTTATCTTTTCTTTCCTAAAGATCTTTTTTTCTTCAATTTCATGCGTTCCTTCGAGTAGCGCGGAGAGGGTGCGATCCGTTAATATCAATATATTTAGGAGGTAGCATTCCTTTTACGTATAAGCGCCATTCTACGTCGAGTGACACACTTTTTTTAACTGACATCTTGCTGGTTAGCAGGGCTTAGACTGGCATGCAGAATGCGAAAAAGAGGCTCTTAAAAGCAATTTTCCCACCAAGTTAAACGCGCTACCCTATCAAGGTAGCAAAATTTACCAGACTGCTCCCTAACGTGCTTGTTTTTGAAGGCTTGCAACAACCTTGCAACCTCAACAAAATTTAATAATTTCTAGCTCTTCTATTTTCAAAAAAAAAAAAATGCAACTCAAAATGTTTAAATTTCACTTACTAGTTGTATAGATACAATGAAAATAACATTTCAAACAAATATAGGGAAAAACATATCTTTCAATTTTTTAAAAAGGCACATTCTGCGCAGAATGTTCTGCTCTGTAAAATATCAAAAATTGGTGAAGTCCTTTTTTTAAAGCCGAAAATTAAGGGCCAGAATGGAACATAAGACTAAAAAATTTCCGCTTTTCCCGCAGTACTCCTATGCGTTTCGCAGTGGTGAAACCATTTCCAGTCGCTCTTAAAAGTCACGGAGCGCGACTACAAAAATGTAGTATTGTTTGGTTGTTGAGAATTTTTTTGAAAAGTTATATTAAACTCTAAAATATCAAAAATTTGCCAATTTACAGAGTTATAGGAAGTTACTATTGTCCCAACGTTTTCGGCTTCTCGTCTCCTCCTAAAAGTGTACATCTGGCACAATTTTGATGTCATAAAGAAGTCTGAAGACTTACTGTTTTGACTCTAGTAAACTGACATATCCAGGTTTCTGTTCGTTTTATAGCACAGCCAGTGTAGAGAATTACAGAACACGATATCAAACTAAGAACGATGAATTAAGCTCACGTTTGCTTGTACAACAAAAACTCTGACGAGCAGACTACAGATAAAATTCTTGAACTTAGAAATCTCTTTCTTAACTGATCGCTTGAAAACTAAAACTAAAACTCCCCTTGTCACATGCATCTTTGGCTACTAACTTGACTGTACTATAAACATTCTGTTGAATTCGGCATTACTGGTCCCTCTGCTTTGTAAGCTAAAAGTGCCTTACTGACCCTACCAATTAATCGCAAGATGTAGGAAGAAGAAACACTAGAAGAAAGGCAATCTCCGCCTGCAAATTTTTTAAAGGCAGTTCTGTCACTAAAATTATAGGTATAAGGAACAAAACAAGGAAACTAATAAAAGGGGACTTGATTGGTTGCGAGAAGAAAAGGTTTAGCCTCCCTAAAGGGCCTTAGCAGGGAAATCAGCTTTGAAAAATTGCGATTTTTAAAAAGATGGACATTTCCAAGTTGGTGGGAGTTTCAACCATATACTTGGAATGAAGTGCCCTATAAGCGCTAACTACTTTAAATTTAGGTTTGAGATCTTTTTTGAAAAAAATATCAGCTTTGATAAATTGAAATGAAACCTACTTTTGCACGACAAAGTTTTTTGCTCGCCAGGTGGTACTCCAAAATATTTGCAAAACCATTTGAATGCTTTTATTCTTCGGCTTTCACCTGGGCCTCCTGGCTCATCAGAATCCTCACCGCCGCATTCATTGTTTATGATCAGGCTTGTGGGCCCAAATATTGGTCCAAAATACCCGTCTCTAGTATTCCTTTCTCCTGCATTCCAATTTCCTAAACAAAGGTGATAAGGATGAAGGTACTTGCGATTTCATGTTTTGGTCATTCTCAGAACAAAAGAGAATACTGCATTTGGAATCTAATCAATTTTATTGTCGTTTTTTAACGTTGCTTTTAACGCCGCTGCAAATTACGCTAGTTACTCTTATAATAAGACTCATCCAGAATTGCTTTAAAACGCCTTCAAATTATTAATTTAAAAGGACTTTGCTTTTTCTGATTTTTAGCAAGGAAATTATTTATTGCTGGTCATATTCTTATTGAATGTTTTTCCTTATTTGAATCGTAAAGGTCTTTTTCTTCGCTTTTATTCTAGCTTCTAATGTGAAAGTGTAATGCTCTTCTAAATTGGCTGCTAGGTATATTCACCTAGGACTATGTCATGCATCGCCGGTTTTGGCGGTTGAGGCGTCATATAAAACCACAATGATGCCATAACTGTAAGTGGGGGATCCGTTTTTGTTAAAATAAGGTTTGGACTTTCCAGGAGGTCAGCTGTTATATTTTGGAGTCGTAACCAGTTTTGGAATTGTCCATAATTGTAATTGTATGAGATCTGCAAAAATAAATAATGCACCTTTTGGCTGCTGATGTGTTACTTAAAATAAACACTTATTTTCAATTAATGTTAAAGGAAGAAACGCTCTGATACTTTTAATAGCGACTTTTCATAGCGTACAGTCTTCAAGTAGCGTATTTCTTAAGTTACAAACAAACCTTTGACTATATAAACAAGAACTAAATTTGTGCACATTTTTATTTATAGTGTAAGGATTCGCACCCGAAAAAACAAAGCATTGAATATGTCCCCAATAAAGTTTATTAATGACTAGAAACTTTCTTAAACCTGAATAGCTCCCCGACCGAAGTAACATCCAGTATACAAGTCGCCTTCTGTTCGGTCACCCTTGCAAGGATAAAAGTAGTTCAATAATGAGTTATTTGCACAGTACCTAGCAATAAGTTTATTGCTTAGCACAGCAGATAGTATGAGATATTAAATGAAATGCTGTAAATTTTGGAATTATCTGAAAAGCTTTGAATGAACTAAAATGCTAAACCTAGTGACTTGCTTGAACATAGAAAGTGCTTTTAGAAGTGGATTAAATGCTTTCCTCTCTCCATTAAGGTGACTTCCAAAATTGACAGACCGCCAAAGCATAAGCAACATTAGTTAACTACCAGTTTTCGGAAATTGTTTAAAAACTTAACTTTTAGAGTGTCCACCAAATCCGGCAAAAATTGTAACAGCTTTAGTCCCTCATACCAAATTTATTTTTTAATTTTTTAATTATTTTCCAAATTTTTTTTTAACCTCCCAGCGCTCCGACACCTTTCGCCGCTTTCCGGAGTGAAACCAGGGTCGTCAGTGGTCAAAAACATCGATATTGGCCCACCTTCAAACCAGTTGTAAAAACCGCCCCTGTAAAAACAATCCCCAGCTTCTTCGTCGGTTAGCTCGTCGCTGAAAGAGTCAAATATTACCACACAAAAAGCTATTACACGATACTCGATAAATAATTTTGAAGTTAGTTGTTAGATGTGTTTTTCAAAATTGTTTATTGTCCCCAAATTACTTCCACCAATTTTATGCTCAATAAAGGAATCAACGTACTTTCCTGCTTCTTTATGTTAAGGGAATTGTTGACTGAGGAGGAGAGAAAAACAAGAGAAAGAAAAGCCTTTTCATTTTGGTATTTCGGCGTGTTCCACAGTTCTCTCTTCTTGGCACTGCTGATGTAACTGCTTCATTATCTGTTTTTTATTAGGTAGCCTTTTGAGAATAAGCTGCTATTTAGTGGCCTTTTAATGAAAGATTTACACAGAAATGTGTTAAGATTCTTTTTGCTCAGTCAGAAAAACAAAAATAGCGTGCATGTTCACATTTTATTGTAGAAAAACTAAAACAATGAAATATCGACCAAATGAGGTTACTGGCAGTATCCCAACCAGTGTTCTTACAATTTTTAGTATTTGTAAGGGATACAAACGGCCTTTTTCTTTCCCTTCTTCAGTGCTTGGCAGCATTGCTACAAGTCTACTTAAATTTACTTTTTGCTTGCAACTTCTCTCTTGCTGCTTAGAATTTTTGACGAATATACTTTACACTGTCTTATCCGTTGTGCACTACCACAGTCTTAATGCGGACTTCCAAGGGGTTGTTAGTGCGCTGAGATATAGTTATGATGTGTGTACTGTACTTTATGGCAGTCATGGTGATAATGAGGAAAGTATGCTGAAAAATTTCTTTCTTTTTTCGGCATAGTTAGGAAATATTTCATAATGAAATATTTCAAAATCCATTTGGAACCAGTGCTTAACTGATGCTACCAGTCAAATTTTCTGAAAATATTTCTGAAAGGAAAATCCTTGCCTAAATATCATTTATGACAACGGGACGCAGTTTTTTTGACATTATTCGCATTTCTTTTAAGAATAGGGCAATAGCTAATAGGTTTCTCGACATAATTACTAGTCATTTTTTTTAATGAAGACGTTACATTTAGAATTGCTCGCGTATTAATCGGCTTTTCTTAGGTAAAAAAATTCGACTGGATTAGAATGTTACTTGTTTCCTCACTATTTTTAGCCTTTTTTAAAATCCCTCTGCAAAGCAAATGACTGTTTATGATAGTAGTGCTTTGGCAGGTGACCAAGGATCTTTAAATATGAAAAGGTTTTTGAGAGTTAGAATTTGAAAAAAGTGTCTCACGTTTTTGTCGTATACAGACGCTTGTAGATAACGAGCAAGTACGAATTTTTGGCTGGCAAGTTGTTCCTATCTGCTAATTGGAGATCGAGAAAAACATGAAGTTAGAACTGCAGTGCAAAAAGAGCTTCCGCTTTTTGATGAAGTTTTTTGATGTACAATGAAGGAATTTTTCCAAATGAGGAACAAAAAGCGAAAAGACAACAACCAGATGTCTTTGAAAACTCGTTTCATGAGATGTTTAACCAGAAGGAACTTGTTTAAGCCTAACTTGTATAAGTGCGCATTATTTTCTCCAGTTTCTTGGACGGCATGGGCGAAAAAGGCCGCAACGTCCCTTCGAGTGTGTACTTCTTTCATTTCCTCCTCAGGGTAAGTCGTGCCAAAGTCTGGAAAATAACGAGCAGCAATCACAAATGCTTCATACGAATACGGAAGGCATTTATGCGGTCCCCAACCAAGATTTGCTTTAGGGAACAAATCCTGAAAAGAAAAAAAATACTGCAGGAATTGGAGATCGTGGTCAATTGCTAAGGCAGAGACATTACTTACGTAAAACATTTCCTTGGTGAACCAGTTTTCAATGGTCGATTTTGGTTTTTGGTTTGGATCATAAACTCTGCAGTTTTTAGGGGGTCCACTTCCATACTTTTTGGCTGCAGGACAATACGAGTGGAGTCCTGTCTTGTATAACATATGCCTCGTATTTTTATTGATGAGGAAATGTGGCAACAGAAAATTACACATAAATAATTTAAACTCAAAAGAAAACTTTGAAAAATACTACATTTTTACAGTTTCACGTTTATTTATCTAAGCCAACCTTCACATCACAACCTTGTCACGATAAAGCTGTTTCGAGGTCAAATCTTCGTCTTGGCAGTATAAAACTGCCTCCCCTCCAGTCCATGGTGGTTCGCAGAAGTTCATAATTACACCTTCATTATGACTGTACCGGTAGCTCTTTTAAAAAGCTGATCTAATAATGTCGGTAATGATGCTAACTCCAGCGCGGTTCCCTAGTCAGTAATATAAAACAGTATGGTTTGTCAAAATTCCCTAACTGTGACCCTCTTGACAGCACATCGTTATAAGAAAAAGCACTGAGAAATTACTTTGACAGTTTAGATGTTACTGGAGCAAAGGAATATTTCATGCTCTAGCGTTGCAAAATGAACTATCACTAGTAAAAAAAAACCTGTTTTTTAAAATCCAAATTCTGATACTTACAATTACTGCACTATGATTAAATTTTTGTGAAAGAAAAGTAGAACAAAGAAGGCTGTAAGACTTGAAAATTAGTCTGATTGTAGTAAATATCTCTTGGAACATTTGTCTTGTTCATTTTTTATGCTTTACTAATTGATAGGGAAATGCTAATAATTTTTGCTGAACTGATTCGAGAGCTAAACAGCCAAACCAGTTGCATATTTTTAAAAAACTGGAAATACAAATTGGACCACAGACAACTTTGAGTAGCGGATGCAGTAGTCTTGAGACGGATAGACCGGTGAGAAAAGTTACAGTAGTTTTTTCAAACAACAAATGTTTTACACTTTTCTCTGCCTAAATGTTTATTTTTTTCATTTCGTACAGGTTGCGTACAAGTAAACCGCGCACATTTTTCCAAGCTTTGTTTTGTCGTTGAAAAAGCATGTCCAAAAAGTTAGTCTTTTTGACCTTTATTCTTGTTTTCGTGATAAAACGTTATCGTCGTTAGTTAAACTGTCTTTGTCATGAACTGTGATAATTTTTACTCCCAACTGCGTTTAACCTCCGTTTTGTTCATTTTATACTTAAGGTTCTTTTGCAAAAAATGTAATCCAGAATGCTGTGAAGAAAAAGTAAGAAGATAAAACGACAGCATAATTTTCTAAAAATATGCTTGATTAAAAGTTTTAGAACAGTAAAAAAAGTCACGGATTTTCACCCAACAGTTGTTTGAGAAATACAGACACCTTTAATAGAAAGTACTACGCAAATTTTTTTGTAATACAGTCGGGAGAATTACCGCAAAACAGTAAAATTTAAAGACTTTAGGGGACAATAATGGCAAGAGACCAATTACGGTGGAGAACCTGCTACTCAGATGTAACAATACCCTTAAAGACTGTGATGTCTCAAAGGCTGACATACGCCTTTTGATTCTTTTCTTGAATTATGACTAAAAATTTGTCACCTGGTTACTCGGGGTCTTAAGAATAACTTTTTATAAATAATTGTGGTATTCAAGAAGAGGGATCACATACCTTTTACGCGAAACTGGGCCTTGGTAATAACCACCATTAATAGTAAAGTAAAAGGTTGTCGGAAACTGATTGCCATTACGGGTTTTCCGTTGTGCATTTCTTATGAGCGAACTAGTTGCGGTGAAATTTCTTCGTCGTCAGACACTTTAAAACTGCTAAGGTACGGCATTCAAAGTTACTAATTTTTGTCGATTTTTTTCTTACACATCTTTCGGCTGGAAATTTCACAAAAAAAGCACAATAACCTGTACCAGGTTAAATCAAAAATTCCATATCGAAAGGAAAATTAAGGTTTAAATTAATGCCGTTGTAGCCTATTTGAGTAAAGCAAGATGCGAGAAAGAATTTTTATTCTATGTTTTTCCAATCTTTGCCTTTTTTTGGAGGAATCAAACTGACAGTTGGATACTGTTCTTTCAAATTAGTTAGAAAGTTTTTTTTGTAAAAGTTGAAGATTTCTGCTAAAAACTGGCATTTAAAAAATCATCTTGGCTTTTTTTTGCTCTTGTCGCCGACGTGCACCGGTAGGTAAAAGCACTGCAAACCATATTTAAGTTTTTTTTCTTTTTCATTTTATTTCACCGCATTCTGCAGATTTCTCCTTTTTCCTAAGGCTGAATTGAGCAAGTTATAGGCTTGCAGAGATCTGTTTTTTCTCAACCTAGAAACCTGTAAGCATCAGCGAAGTCAGTAACTGAAATTTTTTACTCACACAATGAATATAATTGTCTCCGTAAAACCAAACAGAATTAAACCTTAACTGTTTGATTTCTTATAAAACAGAAGCCAGAAAAACTTTAACTACCTTTAACTTGCGTTACATTAGACAAAAACCGATACGGTGCTCTGGACTTCAGAAAAGACTAGTCGACGGGAGTACTTTAAAAATAAATTCCAACAGTATATTTGTAAAAAGTTAGTAAATGAGTTCTGACATTGCTACTTTTTGTTGTTAAAATTAAACTATGAACTAATTCAAATTATGCTCCTTCTGTAACTTTTGTAAGCCAAATTGAGCTCGCTGAAAAAGCAGAAAATGGCAAACTAAGTGTTGTTGAGGGGATGAAGTAAAGCGAGTCACGACTTAAATGAAGTCAACAATAATAATGGGCCAAATTGAAGCAACTGCTAAACGTCAGTCCTCCTAACAGCAAACAGCACTTCACCGCGATAATGATTTTAGTAAATTTTTCTTGAATTTTTTAAATGGAATAATTTAGTAAAAAAAACACTGAAGGATGCAGCTTAAAAGTTATGGCAAGGATGTTTTGACTTTTGTTTGACTTCCTCAGCAGCATGTGAAGATTGCAAAAAATATTATAAAACAAGCAAAAGAAGTTTTAGAGAATAATTTAAGGTCAAGCGAGTAGGTTGAAGAATCGTAACATATCAATTATGAAACGGTGTTATGAAAAACAATTCTAGATAATGTTCTCTAAAAAAAATTATTACAGAGAAAGAAAACTTCTGTAGCTTAGTTAAACCGAGCACTAGACTGCTGTTTTATACAAGATTTGCTGATGTGGTTATTCTTAAACTTTTCTGCACTCGCTTTTTTTTGCTTAGGCTGTTTCACATCAAATTTAAACTGCTTTAATCAGCTTCTGAGACAATTTTCAAATTTTGTTAGAAAATAGAGCAGGTTCCAGAAACAAACAGAAGTTTAACTCAAAAGTCATCTTTCGCAAACTTACAGGCCATTAAAATACAAAAAATTTTTAGTTTAAAAAATTTTTTACTTGATTAAGTTTGAACTGTCTTTTAGAACCAAGTAAATTACGTGTTATATAAAAAGTCGTTTTCCCTCTTGTTTTTGTGTTGGTAATGGCGCAGGGCTGACGAAGCAAGGCGAGATAATAGACTATGAAACGATGTTATGAAAAACAATTCTAGATAACGTTGTCTAAAAAAAAATTAAACACCACAAAAATTTTTCTTAATGTCAAACAAATATAGTCAGATAATGGATACGCCTTGGAACTAAGAGTCAAAACCAGCCAACTGAGCCAAGACAAATGACATTAGAGTTTTTCAGTAGAATTTTGACATCGAGCTGATTTTCTAGAAATGAAATGCGAGCGCTACAAAAACATCAAAAATTCAGCTTAGGCATGGAACCCTAATAAAGGTATACTGTAAATTTCCACACTGAGTCGCCTAACCGATTGTGACCTTGAACGCCAAAATTTGTTCACTGAAACATTACATTTGTCTAACAGAGAAAAAGTTTTCGCATATTTTACATTCTCTTAGTGAAAAATCACTGTACTTTAGTTATGCCTGCGTTTTATACTGTAAAGGGTAGCGATTTTAAAAGTAAAGAATAGAATCTTCATATAAAAGCGAGTTCACTAAGTTCTAACAAATATTCCTCGAATGATGAACTCGTTAAGAAACAGCTGACAAAGCAGAGAATCTGGGATTTTATATGCACTTAAACGGCCTGTAAACTTGCAAGGGAACGAATTCTCGAAATAGGTCCCCGTCATTATTCATTAAAATGTAAAAAGTTGAAGAAACCGACTAAGGAGGGGCAAAAACGTGACATCAGTTTTCTTGAAATAACCTTAACATTAATCTAAACTTCCTAAGTTGGAAAGTAACTTTGGCGATCAGCTTGGAAGGATACGGAACAAAACGGCAATGACATTGAAATAAGCCAAAAATAGAGATTCTAAAGCAACGTATGTAGGCGAGGAAACTGGTTTGGCAAGTAGCCCACGCGATGGGACATACGACGGGCGGTTGAAACTGAGAGAATGAAAGATGTGGTTAGAAAACGAAAAAAGAATGGTACTAGAAAAATATTTAAACAGAGTTCCTCATCCAAGTCCGTGATAACTCAGAAAAATGAAGCTTTCTTTCAATTTTCCAGTCAAAGGTAAAAAAATTCCTTTTTTGATAATACCCGTTCGTTAGCGCAGTCTCGCATTCCGTGACTGCTTTCAACTTCCAACAATTTTTGATTAAATAAGAAGACATTATACGGTGAGTAGTGCTAAACGGGTCTTAAAAAAAGTAAAAAAGGAAATATTAGTTTGGGTAATGGATTAGCAGGTCAATGAGAAAGAATTTGAAAAGCATCTAGAGAGAATATTTGGTTGTTCTTTTCCACCTTTGAACGCCAAACAGTGCTGCGGGAGTGTTGTGCACCGACTGATCAGATCTTTCGCAATCGGCTTCATTTTAATTTCGGATCGTCTAAACTGGATTAAAATGAAGCGGACTTAAGGAATTTGAGACCAAAAGTTAAGCTTAGCTTTAAAGACAGTTGATTTCGTTGTATTAGCTAAAATTTATTGCTTTTATGCGGGTTCAAAAAACCAATAATTATTAAAGGGAAGTATGACAAATGTAGAAGCTTTTGAAAGGCCACTATTTGACTTCAAACTTTCATTACCAAACGTCACTTTAAAATCACATCAGAACAGTTAAATAAAAAAGTACGCCTAAAAAATTAAATTTTACTCGTTATTTTGGCCACCCCTCAGTAATTTTGTTTAGCTAGTTTTCAGCATTTTTGGGTGTGGCACAAAACCTACTGAACTTGTTAGATAATGAACGACTTCAATTCTTCATTCGCAATACCTGTAATGAAAATGGGACAGTTTTTAATGTCAGTTTCTTGCTTTGTTTTCATTTTACTCGTAGTGACTTACTTTGATTATTCCGCCACAAATTGTGTCAAGCGAGTCTTTTAATAAGCGTTGATAAGTAACCGTTTATTCGTTACCTCAAACTTGAATAATTAAACCCGCAGAAAATATGTAAAGCAACAAAAATATAAGACATTAACAACTAATAACAATTAATAACAGTGCAAAGGAATTTTAAAGTTCAAAAAGGGTATAACAATAGAAAAAAGAGACTGTAATTTATAGTTAACAAGGCGCGAAGGTATATCACTATCTCATCTTCTCGCATTTGTTCCCTTACATGGCCCATTTTTAAGTCACTGCTACTGATCTGCTTACTACATTGTTTGCGTTCTTGTTTAGTTTTGTCTGTTAAAATTGCCTTCTTTTAGTTTTATTCGTACCGTCTCTCGCTGTTACTTTAAGAATATGTTGGGGTTTTTGAAATTCATTCAAGTTTCGCCTTTACGCTTAAATTATTCAAGTTTGAAGTCTAGTTACTTGAAGTTTAGGTCGTTTTGCTCTATCCTGTCTAAAGCTGTAAATTTGCTGTTTCTTTTTTTATGTGTGTGTATATGATAAGGCGGCTTTATAGGCTTGACAATGCCCTGCTTCTCTCCGCGCTCCCCTCTGCCGCGGAAACGCGTGAAGGCCGAAGAGATGGACAGTAGTACTGCCAGACGGAGCCACTCCCAGCACACTTAATGTTGTTGCAGTGCGGGAAACCCAAGAATACATGAAAGTGACGTGCAGATTATTTTGTTCTGTTTATTTGTTGATATCTGTCAGTCTGTTAAAATGGTAATGAATTAATAATAAATTTGCCAGTCTTTACTAGCTTGCAATCAGGGACTGCACAACAGTGGTGGACAGTATTCTGTAAAGTAGGTAGTGGTTGGAAGGGGATTACAAAAGGAATGGCGGCTAGACAACCTGTTGCTGTAAGTTGGACACATCCCAACCGTCTTCTGGTGCATCCGAAGTAAGGTGGGGGTGGACTTGGGGTGAACGGTGATTAGGAACCAATCGAGATTTCTGGACTGGCAGCGTGACCGTAAATAGAGAACTGGTTTTGTGCTGTTCTAGTTCAATGAGAGAGTTTTAGCACGAGTTTTACGGTATCAGTATTTTTTGTTTTGTAAGATTTGCAACGGCGTCGCATTACTGCCTAGTTAATCTGATACGGGTGTGAACACCGACATCAGTTGTCAGCTGAGTCACCAAAGTCTGTTGCAGATGCAGGTGTTAGATGTTGTCAAAGCGTGGTCGTTAAGTGGTAGGATTGGTGCACTGTTTATTGTTACATGCTTGGGGCTTTTGGGAGTTTTATTTTTCCTTACTCGTATTCACTGTCGGTTGAGACAACTTTATTCATTTCGGGTTTCTGAGGCTTGCAAGTATACGGAAGTTGGTAAAGTTTTTTTGTCGCATAGCTTTCTCATATTATCAAAAAGTGGACGGTGGTTTTGCAGTCTTTTTGCTGCAGAAGATATTATTTGTTACAAAAAGCTTCCTTCTTTTTTTTCCGTTTGCTAATTCTGTTGCACTGATGTATAAATTTTCTCTTGTTAGTCGTTGTTCAAAAACAGGGCGTTGTTATAGTTATGATTTCTATCTCCAAAAATGAGCTTTTCTATGATGGTCCAACTTCATTTTTTTGCAATTAGGTCTCTCGATCTAGTTCTCTTCAGTTATGTTAATTTCGGCAGTGTGCATTTACTGTTTCAATAGTTCTTCACACATATACCTGTTTCATGCGAGAACGTGACAGTGAGGTGGTGTATGCTAGTTAAACGTAGTTGCTTTAGTTTTTTTTTGGTATAAAAGTTTGTAAAATATTAAATTAAGGTTCACACCGATCTTGACCTTTTGATCAGATTTTCAAGGTTGTTTATTTTTCTGGTCAGCTTGAAAGCGCGGTAGATTTTTAGACAAACACACAGTTTATCAATTCACTGCAGTAGGTAACCGAAAAAACATTGAAATTGTGTTTAGAAAAATTGTGTTAGTTGAACCTTTTGTAATTGCAGGGCTATAATTGCAAATTTGGTCCTTAACTGCTACACCACATCCCTCTACTTTGGAATCACGTCAAACAGGCATAAATGCACCTAGCCGAAGCTTAGGTGTCTAGAAAACGAGAGACTAGTGTGGAGGTATTGTTTATCTTGGTAAATGGTGAACAAAGGTGGGTCAAAAACCAAATATGAAGGAAGAAAGGTAGGTTATAAGGGATAAAAGATGTTCTGGGACGGGGATCATAAGGTTTCAAAAACAGTTGTTGAGTTAATGGGATATTTAGCAGAATCGGACTTATTTGTTTTCAACATTACTAATGTTCTATTGCATCGTTTCTCAAATTGGGCGGTATTCTCCTCTAGGATCGAAGAAAGCTATGAAAAATAACTAAACAACTTAAAGTTGAACACTGGCTCTGGGAATTGCAGTGAATTCTAAGAACGCCACACCAGGGACAGATGGGGCGGTTTATAACACCTTTTAGTTGAAGTTTTAAAAGTGATAAGTTGCT